TTCCTGTCTGGACACACCACCCAGCACCACTGGAGAAAAGACATAACAGTCAGTGCAGAGGCTCAACAAATGGGTGGGGGAAGGAAGGACACAAAGGTGGGTGGGGATCTTGGGGGGGGGGCTGGAAGGAAGGCATGAGTGGGGGTCCTGGTGGAGGTCAGAAGAGGAGAGGGCCCAGGACCCTCCTAAACCTGGCACCGGCCCTGCCCCCATGTCCCAACATGCTGTCTAGTTTGGCCCTTAATGGAAGGAGAAGGGGTTAGGGTGGAAGTACAGAGGTGTGGAAGGGTAGAAGTGTGTGTCTGTGGGGGATTTCCAGCCAAGACCCAAGTGTGCTCTGACTGGCCGGAGCTTCTGTTTTTGTCCTTAGAGCAGACAGGTGGAAAGGAAAGGGAGCCGAGCGTAACTGAAACATGCACGCATTTGGGGGCGGTGGGGGGGAAGGAAGGAGAAGCTGACACCAGGGCAGGTGGTCGCCTCGCTCGTTCCGTGTGCTCTTCAAACAACGGGCGGACGGTGTGAGACCGAATCCTGACATGCCCAGATCTGTTTGGATTGAGCATTACGAGCCAGTGAACATCTCGCCTAACACTGTTTTCCCCCTCCCCGCTTTTCTGGGGTGAATCTGCCTCCCACTTTGAGAGCGCTTCCCCCCCCCCCCCCCGGCTTTTGATGCTCGCCAACAACCAGGATCACTTTACATGTCTGCCGGCAGCCAAATATAGTCGTGCTACGCAGAGCAGAACAGCTGCCTGGTCACCCTCACTTCTGGCTGCACCGGGCGTGTGGGACAGGATTGTCGCTCAGAAGATTGCCCATGGAGAGCAGCCTGCCGCTATCAGAAAAGGGGCAGGGGTGGTTGCCAGATGATTTGGGTGCTTAACAGCTGCACCTCTTCTCTCCTGTGCACCAAACCAGTTGTGGTGTCGGGGTGGGGTGGGGTTTTTTTGTCACTGCCTGGCATTGCTTGAGCGCAGGAGGAGACTGATGTCACAGACAACTGAGCTGTCTTCGAGATCCAGGGGCAGACTTGAGGATGAAGCCGGTCTCCAGTGGTTTGATGTAATCCCTCTAGTCGGCGAGCCTGTCTCTCCATGTTGTGCCAAAGGATGTAGCGACCTTTGCCCCTCTACCGGGCAATTCCCTTGGCCCCCGATGTGTGGCAGAGGGCGCTAAAACCTACTGCTGCTTCCGAGCGGCACGGGACGGGGCGGTGGTGTGCTGATGCCTTGTCACAGGGAGAGGTTGTCCTGGCAACCAAAAATAGCGGCTAAGGTCTCACGAGGTGTTCGGTGCAAAGATCTGTGTTGGGAAGAAGCTCTGTTGTTCCATTTTGGAATGTCTGTGCCTGCACAGGTATTGTTGTTCCAGTGTTTCAGGTGCTTTAGCCCCACAACTCCCCACCGCTAGAAACAATTTGTCTGCTGCAAAACCTGGCGATGTCCCAGGTCTGCAGAAACCTGAAATCCAGAGTCATGATGCAGAGACAGGCCACCTCCGAATGTCTCTTGCCTTGAAAACCCCGTGGGGGTGGCCGTAAGTCAGCTGTGACTGATGGCACTCTCCGCCCCCCCCCTTCCTGCCCTGGCTGGACCCACTGCATGGGGCTTTTTAATCTATACAGAGCGTGTCATCCATGTGCATTAGGTACACAGATGAACAGATGCTGAATTACAGGATCGATAGCCATCCTAGAATGCTAGTGAATTGCACAATATGCTGGCGGTTGACTCAGTTACTATAATCCTGATGCAAAGATTTGTGGGGGGGGGGGCGACGACTAATATTAGTCATTGTTCCCCCTGGGTGGGGAGGTAATTCATCTGTGATTGATGCCTTTTGTTCCAGCCTTCCGCTGAACATAAAATAAGCATTAATGCGCTTCACCACATGCCTGCCTTAAACGTTGAATGATGCAGCATTCAGATTTATAAGCTTAGGGTATAAGTCTGAACATGTCAGCCTCTTAATCTGCCACCTGAACAACCTGCCAGAGGCGCCCGGGAGCACTAAAGCATCCGTCCCGCCTGCCAAGTTTTGCCTATGAGTATTCTCAAATAACAGCTTAAGGAGGCCAGCCCAGGATCAGTTCCATTCAGAACGAAGCTGTTGTGCAGCCCCCTCTGCAAGGAACCTCTCTGGGAACAGCACGCACGTCCATTTTTATATTCATATTTAACCACAAATAAATCTTAGTGCATGGCTGAGGTTCGTTTGTGGTGCAGTGAATCAAAATGCACCCTGGTTGCAGGGTGCATGTGCTTAGGGTAAAAGATGTTCTCACATTTTCAGACGGGTGGGTTTGTTTGTTTTTGAAAGGAGACAATATTTTCCTTGTCAAAGAATATTTGAATTACCAACAGAGAGATTCCGGTGCCTCCGGTATGCCGTTCTGGGGGCTGATGTTGTGAGCAGTGTTTCCTCTAAGCTGAGTTAGTGTGAACTAGCTCACAGTTTTTTAGCCTCTGGCTCAGACATTTTTGTCTCAGCTCAGGAAGGGTGGCTCCAGAGCAAACTAATTTATGCAGCAGCCAAATCGCTCGCTCACAACTTTAATGCCAGGAGCTCACAAAGTAGAATTTTTGCTCACAAGACTCCACAGCTTAGAGGGAGCATTGGTTGTGAGATGAAATAGGGAAGAAACAGATAATTATGTTGCCAGTGTGTCTGCATGGGGCTGGTTTCTCACAATCGGCGGATGGGGGGGGGGCAAACTTGTATCTTGGGCAATGTTCCCTCTAAGCTGTGAAGTCTTGTGAGCAAAAATTATACTTTGTGAGCTACAGGCATTAAAGTTGTGAGCGAGCGATTTGGCTACTGCATAAACTAGTTTGCTCTGGAGCCATCTTTCCTGAGCTAAGACAAAAATGTGTGAGCCAGAGGCTAAAAAACTGTGAGCTAGCTCACACTAACTCAGCTTAGAGGGAACACTGACTTGGGTGTCTTGTGTCAGGTTGTATATGGATGGGGGCTTCTCCAACAGTTCGCTCCTCCATACAAAATTGAAACTAGTAGAAGAAGGTGAGGTCTGTCTGAACCCTTTTCCTGCCATTCTTGGTCCCTGAATGGAGAGATCTGGGGCTTGCTTTTTTTGCTTCTTTGAAGCATGAAGATGGACTGTTGATCCTTTGGCCTTTCCCTTTTAGTTCCCACTGACCCCAGTCGATCTACAGAGACAAGAATGATGGCGGCTCCCCATTGACTGGGGGGAGAGCTGAGCCTCTTCCACCTCATGTGGGTCCCCTGTCATTAACTAATTGGGTCCCCTGTGGGTCCCCTGCCATTAACTAATTGGAGTAGGACATTTGCAGGGGGAGCGAATGGCGGGCTGTGCCCCAAAGCTGCACCAGTAGCATCAGATAGGAAGAAAACGACCAGGACCGATCTCTTTGTCCGAAGCGTCTGGGGGTATATCCAGTTAGCAGCAGGTACTCTTTGAGGTGCCCCTGGACTCGTGTTTTATTGGAGGAGAGCTGCAACCTTGGCATGAGTGTCCCACCAAGCTCATCTCCTCCAGCCTGAGCTTGTGGAAGTCAGTGGGTTTTAGAGTCCAGGAGGGTATGCACAGGACAGCACCGTTATAACGGTGCGGTCCTGTGATTCTCCTAGCTAGTTCTGTTTTCAGAAACCCTTTGCTTGACTAATCCATCTTTTCCCCCTTTAAAATCTAGCCATGCTTCTACAGAACTGTGTTTCTCAAGCATAAGTCCCTGCGAAATTTGCAGATGGCAGAACCACGCAAAGATGTACACCTTCCACAGTGTTGATGAATACCGTCTAGAAACAAAACCAAACCCTTTAAAATGACTGAGGTTAATTTCCCAGGTGTGACTGGTTGATTTCAGACACCCCTGGTCATTCTTTTTATTGTATTTTAATTGAGAGGCACTTGTTCACTGACACCTGTGGCCTGAAGCTTGGAACAGATTTTGCTGTCTGCTTTCTGTCCTCCTTGAGCTCAGGGGAGCTTGTGTGAGTCAATTAGCTTTTTCCTGGCAGCGTCCTCCTCACACCCTTTGGGGGCTTGCTTTTTTCCTGTTGTAGGCTCCGGGGAGGATGGGCCGTGGTCCTCTAGGTGCAGGACCAATTATTTATCACTGCTGGTCTGCTTGTCTTGAGGGGAGGGGAGGGAGTAATGCTGTTAATGCCAGACTCAGCCCTGCAACACTTTTAAATAATTCAAAGGTGTTAGGAAGTGGGGGGGTGTTTACAGAGCAGGTACAGCTGTCTCTTTCTTCCCTTTATTGGATGCAGTTTCCTCTTTTGTTACCTAGGAAACCAGAGTTTGCTGGCTTTTCGAGGATCGGGTGGAGTCAGAAGTAGTTTGGCTGTCAAAGGTATTTCCACCTATATGAAATCAGCGGGCGCCGATTCCTTATTACTCCAGTTCCTTTAAATTGCCTTGGACGCTGCTTGCATGAAATAAAAAATGGTACTGAACATATTCACACAGCCTACAGAGTTTGAAATGACAGAACTCTCTGGGTGAAGAAGGACGAAGAGGTTTCACAGTGTGGCGCTTCAGTGACTTCAGAGAAAGATCCAGCGGCTAGTGCATCTTTCTGGAACATGCAAGCGCATGCTTCAGAGGGTGCAGCTGGTTCTGTCCTTAGTTAACAGCCAAGAGAACAGAATGACCGGTTGCCAGTTGCCCTGTTCCCGAATTTCCACAACAGCGCAATGGCAAAGGCTGCCCATGTTTTCAGCTGTGGACTTTTCTCTGAAGCGGCCCCCAAAGTCGGTGGGGACAGGGGGAGGCACTGCTCTCCAGTGGATCCACTCCCGCTGTTGAGGGACTGTTTATAGGCCCCATGGAACTGATGCCATGGGGTCCCACAGGGTTCTTTTCTGTTCCCTGTGCAGCTGAGCATCCTCATGAAACCACTGGGAGAGATGGAAGGGGGGATTTGAAGCAGGGGGCCATCGATAATGCTGGTAACACCAAGCTGTGTTTCTCAACATGCGGCTCACTGTTGAGAAGCCTTTATGGTACCAATTAGTATGGAACAGAGATTGTAAAGTTTATATTAGTGATTCCCAGTGGGAAAAAATATGGAGATCTCCAACTTACAGATCCATATCTTTCAAAGTACAGTTGCTTGCGTATAAAGTTATGACTTGCTGGTACACCATTCCCTCATGGCTGCATAGGATAAATTCACAAGTTTCCCCTAAATGTTGGAAAGGTTGTGGAGAGATAGGTCTACGATACATTGTTGGTGGACATGTCCTTCCATAGCACAATTGGGGGGGGGGGAAAGGGTCTATAGATTCAACTAATTACTCGATATAGGATTCCTAATAAGCCTGGACTTAATTGACCTGTGGGACTCTTTGGTGATCCCAAAAATTCGGCAGGAACTTATAATGATACTTCTTATAGCGGCTAAATGGTTATTACTTTAGTATTGGAAAAAGTCTACCTTGCCATCGATAGACAACTGTCACTTGAAAATGTGGGAAATATTCCTGATGGATAAAATTGCTGACTCTTTCTTTCAAACCCACACTCAGGTTTTTCAAACATGTTGAACTAATGGCTCCCTTTCTTAGAATATGCTGCAGATAACACTAGCTCCCAAAGTCATTCAGCCAATGCATCGTACTTACAATATCATGATGACTTTGTAACCTAAATATAATGACTTCCTTGGATGGTTAATTGGTTGGTTAGATGCTTTTCTTCCCCAGATACTCTCAGTTATATCTGTATTTGTTTGTATTGTTTAAAGTTGTTATTGTAATATGAATATGTCACACTGCTTTATGTACTTGTATCCTTTGAAACATTTAATAAATGATTTAATTTTTAAAAAACACCGGTTGGTTCCGGAGGGTCTGTCGAAGACCTAAACAGGCGCTTGGAGGAAGTAATGGGAAGGATGAACCCAATAAACTGGATCTCAGCCTGGGTCGGTCTTGAGATGCTGTTGGTCAGTGATGAAACCCATCACGGAGCAAGAAGTCTGTCTGTTGAGGCCGGGGTGATGCTTCCCCCTAAAGGGCACACGGTTGGAAGCTCTGGCTTTCCTCTGTGGCTCTTAGCATCTTTTATCGGCTTATGTTTGTTCGCTAGATGAGATCATTCCTCGAGAAATGAGATCTGTCTGCAGTAATCCATGCTCTGATCACGTCCAGATTAGCCGCTGTCACCGCTCTACATTCTTTTGCCTTTTGAAGACTGGCAGAAGCTGCAGCCAGTACAAAACGTTGCATTCAAGTTATTGCCGGGGCTTATATTGTTGGATATTGTAACTCTGCATGCAAGAGGATCTGGGAGGGAATCGATTAAGAGCAGTGTTCCCTTAGGTCAGTGTGAGCCGGCTCACAGTTTTTTTAGCCTCCGGCTCAGACATTTTTGTCTTCGCTCAGGGAGGATGGCTCCCGAGCAAACTAACTTATGCAGTAGCCAGATCGCTCGCTCACAACTTTAATGCCAGTAGCTCACAAAGTAGAATTTTTACTCACAAGACTCTACAGCTTAGAGGGAGCGTTGGTTAAGAGCATTCTCGCACTGGGGACACTTGGCAGTTGGCCCCACCCTCTCATCAGTTAGATGTTGAGCCTCTTTGTTTATGCTTACTTATTTATTAGATTTTTTTTAGTTACTACTCACTTGAAGGGTCTCCTGTCGACTTATGTTAAAACCAACCAACATTAAGGTAAAAACAACATAAAATCAAATAAATATAAAACATTAACAATAAATAATAAAATACCTGGCCCTTAATTGCCTTCTGTTTGATCTTATATCGAACCTTCCCCCCCCCCTTACCTGGGCTTGTAGCTGTAGCAAGTTGATCTTTTTTGATGTTAATCTGTTCACAATAAATTCAATGTACCTAGATGAATATGTCATGTAAGATGTGCTTCTGTTTTCCTTGTTACCATTGGAGTCAGATGATCTTTGTAATTTGTTTGAACAGCATTTTTTCCTTAGCTGGGTAACGTGGAAGATCAGCTTCTGTGATTCCAAGGCACAAATGATTGTTTTATGTTTAACCCAGTAAATATCACTCTTTGTTGAAAGAATGGCATCGGCTGCCTCTGTGTTCCCAGGCACAATTCAGAATGCTGGTTCTTACTTTCCAAAGGGGTAGGGCTAGGGAGCTTGAAGGCCAGCCTTCTCCCCCATAGTCTGGCCCGGCAGTTCAGATCTTCCTCCCAAGGTCCGCCACATGCACCCCTTCCGTGGAAGCGAGGCAGGTGGCAACCAGCAGCCCCCCCCACACACACACACCTGTAGAATGGTTTTGCCCCTTTGAGCAGCAGCTTAAGAGGTTTTTGTTTGCCCAGGCCTTTGGCTGTCAGTAACTTTTCCTTGACCACCTTTGTAGTTCCTTTGGTTATGTGAAAATACAAACTTCTGTTTTCTTGATTATGTTATTTGGTTTGCTTTTCTGTTGTTTTATGCCAGTGTCACTTATGATTTTATTGCTCTTTTGCTGTTGTTTTTTGTTGTGCCCACTTCCCCACTCCCCCACTCCATGGATCATTTTAATCACATCATTGCTGGCCTGATCAAGTTTTTGTTTTGTTTGGGTTTTTTTGTTTGTTTGTTTGTCCCAGAGGAGTAACTATTCTAGTCTGTTGCAGCAAAATACCACTAGAGTCCAGGGGTATTTTACATTCAGTTGGTCTTTCGTCAGAGCTCCCTTCCTCAGGTGTGTGGCATGAGCTGGAACAAATGCGGTCAGTCCAGAAGGTGCCCCTGGACTTCACACACACACACACACACACACACACACACACACACACACACACACACACACACAAAAAGGGACCATGTTTGGGGAGAGAGAGAGAGAGAGAGAGAGCTATTGCCTTCTGGGGGACCTGCAGGAAGCCAGTTTACATGGGCCATTGGTCTAATCTAGCACCCAGTGCTTGAGGGGGTTGAGAAAAGAGCCACCTCTGAAGGGTTTGTGGCACGTGAACAGGTGGCTGCCCAAGACGTTCAGGAGGTGGGGTTTGATTGTGTCCCCATGCTGCCCGTGGACCGCATGGCTGCGCATTGGCGATCTCAGGCCACAGTGAGTCGGTTTTGTGTGGATTTCACAGCCCTGAGTCTTGAAAGTCACACTGGAATCTTTCCTCCGGGCCAGTTCCCATCAGCAATGCCAGCTCTGCCGGCCAGCGGAGGGCCTCCGGGAACCACGTTGCCTCTACGATCAGTCTCCACATGTTTGACTGAGTGGAAACAGACAAGCAATCCTTTTGATACCCGTGACAGAAGAGATTCCATAAGAGTCTTCATTCTTTGGCCAGTTGAATGGAAAATGGAAAACATCCCCCCCCCATTCATCCGGCACCCAAAGAAAACAGCCCTTTCTCGGGAGGAGGAGCCGCTCCCTCGCCCAGGCACTCAATTAAACCCTCGCCAGAACAATGTTGGCTTTTTTACGAGCAGCCGTGTTCAAACAGAGGTTGAATTGTCAGTTCCCCACCTTACAAGGGCGGTCAGGATAGAGTTTCCCGGACAGAGATTTGGGACAGGGCAGTGAATGAGCTCCTTTATCTGCAAACAGCAGGGAAACGCTTTTGTCGCAAAGGGTTTGCAAGGCATGTCTCTCTTTCGGGCGTTCAGTCTTCTGGCCAGCTTTGAATGCGCAAAGCCCTTGCTGGTCCAGTTGACATGTGCACTGACTTCTATAGAAACTGAAGGCCTGGGCTTTGGTTCCCTGGCACTGCTGCTGCTGTGGGTTGTCTAGGTTGGGTCGCAGAAAGCAGAAGATAAATATTTTTATTAATAATACAAGCACGCTGGTACCAGAGTGGAAAGAGTTCTCTGAGGAAGCTCTTCCATGTAGCCGAAATGGAAAAACCAACATCAGTGACAGGCCCAGATACACAGAAGGGATGTTATCATGCTGACACAAGTGGTTAAGGGTAGCAGAATATTGCGGTGGCAGTTTTTGCCATCGGGTGCTGTGCAAAGATTGGAATTTTATCTCACAAATGTGCCTCCTGCTTTTCGATCATTCTGGTCCTCTAGTCATCTTATAAAAAGATGAGATGATAAAATCAACATTGAAAAACTATCAGTTACAACGTTAAAACAGCCCGCTGTGAACACTAAGTTCCCAGATATCAGCAGCACCTTCAGGATTTAAGCTTGCCTGAGCAGAAAAGTCCACCTTTCTCTGGAATACTGATAAAGCATTTGGGGAGGGGCCATGGCTCAGTGATAGAGCATCTGCTTGGCTCGTAGAAGGTCCCAGGTTCAATCCTCCCTCAGCATCTCCAGTGAAAAGGATCAGGTGGTAGATGATGTGAAAGACCTCCAGCCTAACACCTTGGAGAGCTGCTGCCAGTCTGAACAGATGGTACTGACCTT